TCCCGGGCGAGGCGACCCATACGTGCAACAACTAATTTAGCTGCACCGTAATTAAAAAAATTTAAAAAACCGCCGCAAAAAGGCCGCAAATTAAAAAATTAGCTTATGAGCTGTGTGCTCGTTTGTCACCCGTTTGTTTTTCTTTAAAAAAAAAAAACAAATTCAACGAAAAAGTATTGTCACTAAAATTTACTTTATTTTTAATAAGCATTTATTGTTATAATTCCTAATTAATTAATACAATTCCTAGTACCTTATTTTTAACAACTAAAAGTAATATAGTGATATGAAAAAAATCATTCTTAAAACACTATTTTATACAACAATCATGTGTTAATGTTTTTTTTTTTGCCCTTATTACATAATTTTTACATTTTTAGAAGAGTGATTCCACTTTTGAGTTGAAAATTTTGTAAAATGGTTTATGTGAGTCTTTTAGCAAAATTGGCAAACAAAATATACATCATCATTGCATAATTCTATAAGCCCACAGCTGAAAAGAGGCCTCCCCCAAAGTATAACCCAAAACACGGTCCAAAGCTACCTGTATCTATCGAAATCCTGAACGTCGTCAATTCATCTAGTGAAGGACCGTCTTTTCTTCCATATTTGTTGTCGATTCTTCAAGCCATTGCTACTAATCCGTTGGGCTATATCGGTTATACTGGAACTTTTGCAGATATCCTCGTTTCTAATTTTATCACCCAAAAAACTCCGAGGAACCCTCTCCATAGCTGTGCAACCTTGAGCTCTCTTATACGACCAGAAGTGAAAAACCAGGTCTCAAACGTATTCGTTGTACACTCATTTTTTCAACTATAGAGGCATACGTGACTAGAAAATGTGTCGTTCAGGAGATCCTGAACGCTGCCCAGCCGATCTAAGGATTTGCAATACCTCGTAATCCGGTGCCACTCAATTTGTTCTTAAACGCGTTGCCACATCCAAAAAAAGCTCCTTTTCATAACACCCTTAATTTTTTTTCGACCCTTTCACTCAACTAGCACTTCTTCCGAAATTTTACATTTGCGCCTGTTCAACTGCCTTTTGATCAAATCTCTACAAGCTAGATTTGTCCTGCCAGCACGCCCTATGGCTAGGTTGGGCGCCAGAATGCCTAAGCTAAAACAGGAAAAACCGCCATTCTGGTCCACCTATATCCCTTGCTCAACAGAGTCAGTGAGCTATTTTGTGTCGCACGGAATATACCAGTGCTCATACTGACAGGCCGTTGCATTATTTAAAACGAAAACTTGCCAATCGACGTGGACTCTTTCTTATATACATTATCTGAGTGCCGGATATGACCCCATGAGGATACGAAGACTCATAATTTTTTCGAAGCTCAAAGCATCCTCTCATTTTCCCAGCATGATCAATGAACGACAAGCTCGAGTCTAAGATGACCACCCATATTGCAACCAACACTTGTTGAATCGGACGAAGGATACGCGATTCCTATTTTCCCAGTTCATTATAAGCTAAAGCCAATACCATTTTGGCTTTAACTCAATGTTATAGCCCAATAAGAATAGCTGAGAGAAATCCAAAAATAGATAATAATGTATCATCATCATCATTACAGCCTCTCACAAGTTCACTGCTGAACGCAATAATTTATGCACTGCTATTTATCGGTACAAATAAGAAAGTAGATTCTTGATAGAAAAGGAGTTCTCATCAACTTCACGGGAAGTAATAATAGAATATTAGTAAAAAGTTATAAATAATAAGATAAAAAAAAATTGTAAAACAGTATGTACATTCTGTAAATACTAGGAACAAGCACAAGTTACTCATACCAATTACTCGACTCCAAAGAGTCCTTAATTCCTTCATGGATCAATATACAGTATACGCTTTTACAACAAAGCCCCAAAAATATGCAGGATATATATATATATATATATATATATATATATATATATATATATATATATATATATATATATATATATATATATATATATATATATGATATAAACAAAAATTGTTTAGTAAGGGCATCCTACTAAAGAGTACATGATTGATTGATTGCGACCATGCTGTTTCAAAAGTTTCATAATTAACTGTAGAAAATATCATATTACAGTTTTTTTTTCTTAAGTCCCGCTGGGTTTTTTGCTGGTTCTTCGCATGACACTGGTTTTTTTTCCAACAAGTGGTAAGGCAGAAATAAGTTTCTATAAGTACTCTTGAAATGAAAATGATTCTATTTTATTCTAATTCATGCAGAGGAGGTCCTCGTAGCCATGCAAACTACCACGCGTAAAACGTAGTTTACCACAAGGCCCTCAAGAAAAAAAAGTAAAGTTACAGCCTATATACGTCCCACAGCTGGGTACAGGCCTCCCCCCACTTCTGAGAGTGTTTTAGGGCAAGGATGTGTCCGCCACGCTAGCGCAATGCGTGTTAGCAAACTTTACATGTCTTTGAAATATATTTTTTTCTTATTCCTCAGACATGCATGTTTCCTCACGATGTTTTCCTTCAACGCCGAGCACGTGGTAAATCAGCACTTAAAATTGCAATTAGCAATTTCATTAGTACCAGCGGCGATCGAACCCGGGCTACTCGCGTTCTGTTATATTTACTCTGAGCTACAACGGCTCCGGTGTAATTTAATGTATTTGTAGCCCTCAAGAAGTTCGGGATCATTCTGGCCCAGAAAAAAATATTTAGACACAGATTTTATTTTGAATATAGTTAGTTCGCAGTAACCGCATATTATACAAAATTCAGACCGAAATCCAACAACACTATATTAAATTAATTGGAATGTGTGTACATCCAAAATATTTATGCTTCATGTCAACAATTAGTTACACCTCGAAGCACCTCGTATGCCTTGTTTTGATATCACATTACTGAAATTTGTATTTATACTAACATCCTGCCGTTTAATTTGTGACAAATAACTCTTAGTTAATATTAATACGTATTGCCATTGTCAATTAATATTGCTTGATATTGGAGGAAAACATTAAGTATCGCAACACAACTTTCATTTTTATAATTTTATAAATTATACATTACATTTAAACTACGTATTTTAATGTCGTTATTTGAAAAAAAAACCTATCAGCCAAAAATCAATTTACCAAATATGCATAAAGACTGTATCCACAATTTATGCTACAAGTTGATTGATTTTTACATTTAACTATTATATAAAGTCTACTTATGTATTTTTTTATAAAAAACGGTTATAAACAAGCACATAGTCCACCTGATGATAAATGAAGGATTTGCTCATAGATATATATATATATATATATATATATATATATATATATATAAGTATATATAATATTATATATCCTCGATTAAGAATCAAAATTCAAATGTGTATAGATACCCCTGAGGACTAAAAGTGCATTTTCTTGTTCAAGGGTATATGTGGATGATCTGATCTGATCGAGTGTACTGTGTGTTCGTTTGACCTATTCTCCATATGGCTTCACCAAGCATCATGTTGGAATACGACAACATCATTTGGGGACAAGACTTTGAATTGGTTGGTGGTAACCGAAAACCCAGCGGCCGAAACCTACCACCGCAATTGGTGTTGCCTGTTTAGCACTTCCCGCGGGAACACGAGCAGCCTCATCCCTCGAAAAACATTAGAAATTACACAAAATTCACAACTTATTCAGTCAATCCGTCGGTAACACTGACCTCTATATATAGAGGTCAGTGGTCGGTAAGTGTTTATCATTATAATATTCTTTGGCGACTATTTCTACTCTGTGCGACTGTCAAACAATTATATGTTTGACAATTGACATTAGCTGTATGAACTATGAACGTAAACAATTCAGAGCTTAATGCTCTGAATTGTTTAAGCCTAGTTGTTGTTCTATGGAAAACAGTGAATGTCTTATTTTGTTTTATTTAATGTATTTGTAGCACATATTACAGACTGATAAATCATAGCTTTCTGCATTTAATCGCCATATTATTATTTAAATATGCCAAATCCCACATTCCTCCTGTCGCTTAATATGCTTTAAGGGGAAATATAACCTCAAATGGCTTAGAAAGATCCTCCGTTATGCCGAAAGTATTACAGCATTAATTTTGAAATAAATATATGGTAAAGTTGATGGGTTAATGTTAAGGACTATGTTAGACGAAAACACGATTCTGTAAAATTTTCTCGATAGAAAAAAAAATCCAAAGTTACCTCCAAACTGAACAATAAACCGCTGTTATTCATAAAATCATGAAACTTTGCATACTAACTGAACTAACTATAAAGCAGTGCTTATGTTTTTTACTTTTTTTTAAATACCATTATTTTCACTGTAAAAAGATATTACCTAAACTATCGGCGTCTTTAAGCTATCGCTTAGGCTTTTGAAGGGAGAAGTTGTGTCACTTACGATCAGAATACACATTACGCAACAGAACGACGTAAAATTAAAATGGGAAATAACCGTAATAAAAATAGAAGCGAATGGGTTGGCGTTAAGAAACAGGCATAAATATGATAAACCTTATGAAATAAGTATCTAACGACCTATCTGCATACGGTATTAGTGAGTACAAAGATCTCGGTACATACGAGTAGCATACGACGCGCGGGGAAGTGCGAGCGGAATTAGAATTTGAGCTGACTTACTATATCCGCTTAAATGGGGTACAAAGTTTTCTCCTCATACATTAATATAAAGATTAAAAATATATTACAAACATATTTCTTGCGTTACTTTGTTATTATATGTATACCTGTAACCTACTAGCACAGAATAAATAATAGTACTACGTACTAGTAGGTATATTATTTTTATGTTAATTAACATGGTAGAGCCACGCTACAGCTGTATTATTTATATTATAGATATTTGATTTATGCCCTGTTTGCTTATATACTTTGAATATCGAAAAACGATAGATGAAGTGAAAATAAAGATAAAATATAATTATTTTTATTTTTTAACAGTTCATAACTACAGTGACGTAAAACAATTGACTATAGATTTCATTGCAATTTTTTATTATTTACGTTGTTCTCGCAATACGCTGCGACTGCTGCATGAATCGCCGATACTACTTTCATTGTCCGTCGATATAAACGCTAAATTAATAACATTATCTAGTAGAAACTTTTTACAATATGATATAAACTGGAAAGAAAATAAAATATTTAATATATTAACACTTATATGTACTTGTTTTTGTAGACACAACTCTGTCATTTGGAATCGACAAGACCACTTATCGGCTTTTCACTTTAGATTTTTCTTGGTGGCAGTTCCACGCTGCACCTATATATTGTGGGGTAGGACCACGCTCTTACGGAATGCCTGAATGTAAAATAGCAGCTTAATGCTGCTGAGGTTTGTATGATTAGTGTAGAGAACCGGAGACTTCTTTTACTGGAAACGAGGCATTCCAGTCCATTAGTCCTCAGGGGTGACAACACATTTGCATTTTCATTCTTAATTGAAGATAAATGTAGATGTCTGTGGGCCATAGCATCCACTTACCATCAGGTGGACTATGTGCTCGTTTGTCATCCTTATTTAAGGTAGAAGGTAGAAGGGGCTATACAAACTAGGTACGACACATCATTTTACTTTCTTACGCGGATCTGAGCAAATAATTTTTAAGATCTAAGTATAATATAATAGATTGCCACAAAGTAGCGCCTTATTCTATTAATTGTTATTAAAACATATAATTGAAATAAAATTAGCCAGTGTTACATAACTTAGCAAAAAGAATAAGTACCTTTTCTTTACCTTTTACTCAGAATGTGGTGAGAATTTGTGATAGGTAAAATTAAGCTATGTAAGATTAGAGAAAACTTGGTATATTTTTTAATAATCATAACATACCTTTTCCCGTTGTTCTTTTACGGTCTTATTAATTCTTTTAATTTCTTGTTTTAAATAAGTACTTTCTTCAAAACTTTTGTTCACTTCCCATCTGTTTCCAGAAAACACCAAAGGCAGCACGTATGGATATCCTTAAAAATAAATGACATAATATCATAAATAATAGTTAAAAAGTCTTTACAAAAATTGTATTTTAAAATTACATTACCTTTCATAGTACCAATCGAACCATCACTAATGACACCCATGTTGCTATAAACTTTCGTTCCGCTCCCGCCGGAACGTGCTTTCCAGATTTGTTTCAAAGTTTTAGAAAATTCCGCTGCCTTATAAATACATCCATAAGGATTTCGTGCTGCAGATGACGCCACCTTTTAAACGGTATTTAATGATAGAAAAGTCAATAACACAATTTTATATTTTTTTAATAATTTTAACTTAATTATGGTGCCACTCATAACACATTATTTTATTAGGTTAGGTTAACTAACTTTATCAATTTGACAGGGTATGTATTTTGTGTTACTGTATCCATGTAAAAAACTAATTAAAAAAAAACTTCAATTGATTTTTGCGTTGGCAACCTCATGACTCAGTGGGTAAATAATGTAAGTACTAAATTATTAGTCTTATTCTTATGTTTGAATGCTTGAACATTATACATCAATAACAGTTATCGAGTCTAGACGAACTATAATTATCTTTTTGTCCTTAATAACTCTTTACATCCTTCTACCTACTGTTCTATGTTTGTACCATTTTAGAGAAAAAGATAATTTCACGGACTTACTGTTTCTCCGGTCAATCTCAGATTAGGCAGCAAACATAAAAGTAGGTGCTCTTCATTAGGCACAAAATAATTTACGAGTCTCTTTTAATTTATTGAGTATTCTAAAAATATATTTGAACAATATGACCTAAAATTTTCAGAATTTAAGTATTTTTTCAGATTTGACAAAATTGCTTTCTATGCTTTTATACACTTATAATCCTTTTTATACCGGGTACCTGGTATGCCTGGATAGTGTTCTGTGGCCTGCCCAAAGACAACTCTATCAAACAAGATGATATGCTTATAAATGTTTTCATTAATATAATATGACATCTTTGTATCAATCAGCTCTTTCAAACGAGAGATGTTTTGTTAAGAACATGTGAGGTGTGACTCAAACTCTCTTATGTCAAGCGTTGACCACTCGCACGAAGCGGTCGTCATACATAAGTACGATAATAATATATTACATCAATCCTTGGATACGAGTAAAATAATAAACGTTCATCTGGTGACTGGTAAATAATTTATCCAATTTTTGATAAAATAAAAGATTAGTAATACTAATAAAAACATGGACAATTATTTTTTCTTTATTAAATAGGTTCCATACCAATCGAATGATTTTCCACCGGGAAAAGAAAAATTCAAGTCTGGCCTATCTAAAATAAAAATGTAATTCGGTGCAAATTTCTGAGCGCGAGCTTTTCAATCTTGACCAAAGTAGTCTGGCGAATACTTTCGTAAAGTTTTTGCTTACTGGATCAATTTTATTCAAAACTAGAAAGGAAAAATTTCATCTTCAATTTTTCAAATCAAAATATTGGGGGTGGTATAGTAAAAAGTTGGATCAAGAATAAGTATGAGAGACTTGAATTTTATTTCAAAATTTGTTTATTATATCAATATTACTTGAAAAAAAACTTTAATTTAAAAAAATAGACAAATTACTATCCATCAGACTAAAAAGTTCATTATTTAATTCATATCAAAGCTAATACAATATATATGAACTTATACCTGACGACCCCCTGTGAGCGGTCATCGCTTGAACCATTTACACGTCTTCATCAAATAGTTTCCAATCTTAGAAAATAAATATTAAATTTAAGGAATTAATCACAATGTTTAAACAGTTGTCTATTATATTCGAATTACCACCAGCATTAATGATACATTAGATAAAATTGCAATTAACCTTTTCAAGAAAATCTTTTCTCATCCATGTTGAATTAAACTTCGTATAATCTATCTTTAACGACTGCAATAATTCATTACTTATTGTATCGTTTTCACAATGCGCTCTTTTATCAATCTTTTCATTAATAATCAAAGGTTTTTTTACTTCTAAGTGAAATATTTCATCATTTGCCGCCCAAACCAACACATCGTTAATATCTTTGCATTGAACCTAAAACATGTTATAAATTATTATACAAAACTTTATATTAAAAATATCCAGATGAATTATCTTTACGACTTATACTTATATGATGTCTATAAACACTCTATATGTATAGAGTCTCATATTGGTCTGTGGCTTATAGATCCCCTGTTACCTTTTTTTATAGACTTACCTATAACAAAAAAGCAAAAAAGCCAAAAAGCAATCAAGCTCTATATCCGCTGGCACCAACGAAATTGTTAATTGCAATTTTAAGTGCGGCGACCATGTGTTCGGCGGTGAAGGAAAACATTAAATAAAGGGAATTGTAACGTAATATAACGAAATGCAACAGTATCTCATAAAATAGCATATATATAGCATAATATCTAATGTATATTATATAAAAGTAAAAACTCATTTGACGATGTAAATCATGCTATATCTCTTATAATATAACTCCATTTTCAATTAAGTTTCAAAATGCAGATGCGTTGTCACTTCTTAGGACTAAGATGGAATGCCCCGTATCCAGTAAAAAGGGTTATCTACATTAACCATACGAAAGACAGCAGTATTAAGCTACTATATATATTCCCAGTCGAGTCGACCAACTATAATATAGCTATAGTAAGGCTCTACCACATAAAATATTAAGATAAATTATCAAATACTTGAATCAGTCTATTCCACAGTTTTCCTTGGAATCACTATAGACTCCCTTCTATACTGGATACCTCATGTTGAAGCCTTTTCTAAAAGACTTAGTTTCGCTGTAAGCAGATAAAAAATAAGGCTATTGTTTATAAAAACAGCAAGATTTTGTAGTAGCATCTATTTTTATAGTGTGATATCCTATGGATTAGATACTATAGAAAAGAGCTTAGTCCCTCAGAGATCGTTTTATTGAAATTAATATCTCAACTACATGACAACTCGCTCCGGCTAATATTAATTACTTAAAAAACTATTTTCATATCTTTGAAAAAATAAGTAATTTCCTTAACTTTAACAGTATAATAAAATGGCGGCTCATTTTAAGGCATATGTGTTTATACCAAAATTAATTCAGGTGTACGTAAAAAGCATTCTTATGAAGAATGCTTTTTACGTTTATATTTAAAAATAAGAATGCGTGGATTGAATGACCATTCTTAGACTTTTTTTACTTAAATTGAAATGTTTATAAGGTTAATTGCAAAAACTGCTTTGTAAAGGCCAATTTGAAATAATAATATTTTGACTTTGACTAATCCTAAAACTCTTTATCTAAACCTCTTTAAAACCTGTACTTTGGCTGGTACGTAAACTTTTTAGAGCTTTTAAATTGACAAAGATTTTAATTAGTTCGGCCTTTTAATTGGTTCAATTAAAAACTTATATTAACCAAGTTTTTTATTCTGTCTTTGGTAACCGCAGATATTTTTTCATTTTAATTTTATAAATGACTGTTTACTTAAATGCTTATTATAAAAATAGACTTAATAAATCTATCTTATTTTTTGAGATTATGTGAATTAAACACAATAAAAAAATGCCGAACCATAATTCCTGTGCAAGGGTATCGGATTCGTGCTCAACAAACCGAATGCTCAATGTGCTGAGTATGAAAAAAAATTGTTTTTTAATACAGACTTTTATGTAATTCACTATTAGAGACTTTCTAATTAATATATCATTAAGATAATTTCACACAAACATTCAGATAATCTCCTAAAGTAGACTTTGCTATTGCTTCAAGTGGCGTGGTAGCAAAAAACACGTCGCTCGGCATATTCTTAGATAATGAAGCAAGGATATCTAAGGCTAATAAGCCATCAGTTAGAAATATTGGCTTTGTTTTTATCGCGTTCTTCAAGTCTTCTAATTCATCATCCTCTTGCCACGATAAATGATTCGCCACTTTTATTAACAGATAAAGAGTGTCAAAATGTGCTTCGTTTTCAATATGTTCAATGTAAAATTTATTTGGATTTGCTAAATCAGATATAAAGCAAAATATGTCCGCATCTCGTATTCTGAAAAAATAAAATAAATTTATATAATACGAGAGTCGTTCAACTGATGGCAAAAATATTTCCAAAATCAGCGAACCAATAATTTCACAAACTGGGCATTACCAGTTATACCGTTCAGCATTATGTGATGTGAGATTTAAAAATATGGTCAATATATTACAATATTTGCTGTGTATATGCTGCGTAGCGGTTTCGTAAGAATATTCACAACATCCCAATACCATCCCGTGAATGTCGTAAGAGGTGACAGAGGGTAACTATACTAGGAGATGAGCCACCTTCTTGGTAACAACGTAGTAATAAAAAACTACGATTGCCAACCCAACTGCCAAACGTGGAAACTATGCAAAATATACCCCTAATAAAGAATGGTACAAAGAAACGGCTCTTAGTCCCTACGGCCCCGCTATTTCTAGCTACAGTGACGGATATGGTAACGTCTGGGCAGAAAGTGCTAAGAACTCCGGCGGAGATTCGGTTGCCACCTTCGACGAAACGCTCTGGAAACAATTAAGGCACGCACTCTAAAGCCTGAGGAGAAGATCCAGAAACTAGAAGAAAAGATAAACAAGTATGCTGGGATATTATAATATGATCTGAGGTCCAAATAGAGGGAGAAAACACGGTAATCTGGAGGGCAACCATCTGTCTCAAGCCCCAAGGTCAACACAAAGCTCTCATAAATAACATTGTCAAGATCGGGAATGTATTGACAAGGATTATGTAAACGATATTCTTATATTTACGCGAACACTATACATTGATTAAAACTACTTTTACGGATTTTATCGCGTTTTATTTATATTAATTTTAATACCCGATGTTTCGGGTGCTTTCCAGCACCCATGGTCACGGGGGACTGAGGTGACTGACGTCCTGATGTCAAAGTTAACCCGGAGTACCTTCAGCTTTTTAATTATTGTTTTTGGTCCGATCTACGCAGAATGAACTAACTGTATTTTGAAGTCTTGCAGTGGTATGCTTGGGTTTAGTTTTAATTTTATTAATTATAGGATCCCAAGCAGGTGGTAGTACCCAGCCTCCTTCTCTATTGAAATTAGGATGTTTTTTTAATTTCAATAGCCTCACGTATCATCCTTGGTAGGAATCGATGTTCTTTCGCGAGGATTTGTGGTCTATCAAATCTGATGTAATGGTTGGGGCCATCTAGAATATGATCGCTGACGTGAAGCATCAACGTTCCGGGAAGTCTGCAGTTTGCGATCATATTCTAGATGGCCCCAACCATTACATCAGATTTGATAGATCACAAATCCTCGCGAAAGAACATCGATTCCTACCAAGGATGATACGTGAGGCTATTGAAATTAAAAAACATCCTAATTTCAATAGAGAAGGAGGCTGGGTACTACCACCTGCTTGGGATCCTATAATTAATAAAATTAAAACTAAACCCCAGCATACCACTGCAAGACTTCAAAATACAGTTAGTTCATTAGTTCGGACCAAAAACAATAATTAAAAAGCTGATGGTACTCCGGGTTAACTTTGACATCGGGACGTCAGTCACCTCAGTCCCCCGTGACCATGGGTGCTGGAAAGCACCCGAAACGTCGGGTATTAAAATTAATATAAATAAAACGCGATAAAATCCGTAAAAGTAGTTTTAATCAATAAACGATATTCGTTGAAGGTTACGCAACAACCCTAGCACATTCCGATGAGGAGGTAGGAGTGATCTATGAGGATATATCTAGAGCCATTCTTTCTTTAAAAATGCACTATACGGTATTGAAGGGAGACCTCAACGCTAAACAAGGCACAATAAGGGACGATGAGCTTAATGTAGGAAAAATTGCAACGAAACTCAAAGGTTTTACAGCAGACTTACTTCATCTTGATGAACTCTTTCTTACAGAAACAGCCCTCAATGAAAGTGGATGTGGTTCAGCCCTGACAATTAGACAAAAAATGAGATTGACACCATTATGATAAGTAGATGACTTTCTTGTAATGTCTCAGTAGTCGGGACGATAAAAGCTGGTAGCGATCGCCACATTACGGTACATCTTCTCGTTATATGCATACCTTGAAACTTAAAAATACGAGTATACTACAAACAAAAACATAATTACGTGTTGTCAGTGTGAAATATGGATGTTAGGCATAGTCCTTCATTGATGAGGAAGCTCAAGATTACTCAGCGAGCCATGGAGAGGAAAATTGTTGGAGTTTCTGCGTGATAGAATTCTAAATGAAGATATCCGCAGTACCTAGTATCAGAGTAATCGACATAGGCTGGATTAGTAAACTTAAATGGCAATTAGTCGGCCATATAACTCAAGGAATCGACAACCGATGAGGAAGAAAGGTTTTCAAGTGGTAGCCTCGTAACGGTAAACAAAACCCCTTCACTAGATGGAGTGACGACTTAACAAGACGCAAATGGCTCAGGACTATGATTTATAGCATTGCTTGGGGATGTTCTCTGCTCTCTTGAAGAACTACAGACCGATTTCCCTTCTGAGCCGCGTCTACGTGCTGTTTTCGAGAGTCATTACGAATCGTCTCGCACGCAGACTCGACGACTTCCAGCCTCCCGAACAAGCCGGTTTCCGAAAAGGCTTCAGTACCATAGACCACATACATACCCTGCGGCAGATTGTACAGAAGACTGAAGAGTACAATTTGCCACTTTGCCTGGCGTATGTGGACTATGAGAAAGCCTTTGATTCCGTCGAAATTTGGGCGGTGCTGCAGTCCCTTCAGCGGTGCCAAGTTGACTGTCGGTATATTGAAGTGCTGAAGTGTTTGTACAGTAGGGCTACGATGGCTATCCGAGTACAGAACCAGAGCTCGAAACCTATCCAACTGCAGAGAGGTGTAAGACAGGGTGACGTTATATCCCCGAAACTCTTCACCGCTGCTTTGGAAGACGTTTTCAAGCTACTGGACTGGAAAGGATACGGTATTAACATCAATGGCGAGTACATCACTCACCTTCGATTTGCCGACGATATAGTCCTTATGGCAGAATCGCTGGAGGACTTAAGCACTATGCTCAATGACCTCAATAGTGCCTCCCAACGGATAGGTCTTAAGATGAACATGGACAAAACAAAGATTATGTTTAATGTCCATGTCACACCTATGCCGGTAGTTGTTGGGAGCACTATGCTCGAAGTTGTTGACGAGTACGTTTACCTGGGACAAATAGTCCGACTAGGTAAGTCCAACTTCGACCGAGAGGTCAATCGACGGATTCAACTCGGCTGGGCAGCGTTCGGGAAATTACGACATATCTTCTCGTCAGGTATACCTCAATCTCTGAAAACTAAAGTGTACAACCAGTGCGTGTTGCCAGTGATGACTTACGGATCAGAGACGTGGTCCTTCACTGCTGGCCGTATGAGGACGCTCAAGGTCGCTCAGCGAGCTATGGAGAGGGCTATGCTCGGAGTTTCTCTGCGTGATAGACTCAGAAATGAGGATATCCGCAGTAAAACCAGATTGACCGACGTAGCCCAACGGATTAGTAAGCTGAAGTGGCAATGGGCCGGCCATATAGCTCGAAGAACCGATAACCGATGGGGAAGAAAGGTTCTCGAGTGGCAGCCTCGTACCGGTAGGCGTAGTGTAGGGCGACCCCCCACTAGATGGAGTGACGACCTGGTAAGATATGCAGGAAGTCGATGGATGCAGGTGGCTCAGGACCGTGCTTTGTGGCATTACTTGGGGGAGGCCTATGTTCAGCAGTGGACTTGTGAAGGGCTGTGATGATGATGATGATGATTGGGGATGTTAATGTTCAGCGCTTAACTTGTGAAAGGTTGTAATGTTGATGATGATGATATTATGTATAACATGATTGTAACATTGTGAAATAGATTACCTAGGTAAGTCTGAGGTAATTTCAATTACATTCATATTAGAAAACGCACATCGTTCTAATTCCAGTTTTAAAGACTCTGCAGTAGATATTTCATTAGAGTATACTAATAATTTCAAATCAATAAAATAATTATGGCCAAATATATCACCAGACAACATTTTAAGTAAAACTAACTGGGAACTTTGAACAAGAGGGTTTACCATAAATACTCTAATGGGTTTTGTTACAATTTTTTGTTGAAAATTCATATTAGGTTATATACTATTACTATATATTTATTTAAACAAAATATTTATAACTGGGTATTGTAAATTATGTAGTAAGTACGCATTAAATAAACGTCAATGTGACAACTAGCATTTTTAACTCAAATAAACCTCTGAAACAAAAACCAACAAAAATCTCTTTTTCAGTTATTTATTAGTTAAAAGTCAAAAGTCGCGCCTCGTCAATTAGATCCTACGCTCTGTGTAAAAATGTATCTCGAGGAGGCGCGTGTATACTTGGCGCTGAGTTCACTTAACTTTCGCTCATCAAATGTTGCTAGTAGGGTTTAAGGTGATCACACAGTATCATTATCAATGAAAAGTTGCGATTTAGTTATAAATTTTTCGGTTTCTAGAATAGATCAACATGGGCCACCGGCGCTCCGCAGGGTACTCCCCTTCGCTCCGTCAGTGTGTTAGGGTACGCCAAAGCGTTTTTTTCGTGATACTGAACTGTCTGTCATTTTTGTGGGCACACAAAAACAATCATTTGTCCCTACAAAACTTACGCAATTAAAACAATATACCAACAATTTCACACACACACACATAGATACATTATAACACTATCGCTCGGCGATAGCAACAACTCGGATACAGACTCGGATCAGTCGCTCGACTGATAAGCATGTTGTAATGAGCGGCATGTGTTGGCAAACAAATCCGAAGTTTAAAAACAAGTAAATAACAACAGCTTAATTAATAATTACTTATTTATATGTGGAAGGTAACGTCATCTTTTGGTAAATTTGACGTAACGGATCTCTTTTTGCAGCACATAACTCATAACTCTTTTTGCAGAACGATCGGCATTTTTTAGAACAACGACTCATCCACGCAACTATTTAGTAGATTTAGCCTAGTGAGCAGTGCGGCTGCAACCAGCTTTATTGGCTTTACTCGTTCAAGGCTTTATTGTACACATGGGACCGCTTGAACTTATACTTTGAGAGAGCAACGCCTGTGTATGGCTACTCCTCTCCGGTCCGCCGGTAGCCCAAGTTGCACTTTTCTTATCTTTAACTTTCACATATTTTTAACTTTTTTTTCATTCTTGTAATTTAAGGAACATCCGTAATTACGCTTATCTATTTCTTGTCTAAATAAAATAAAATGGATCAAGTATTTCAATAAAAAACATTGATTTCTACACTTTTTAAACAAATTAACTTCCTCCTCTTTGAAATTTGTCTAATGTTTCATCACATTCCTAAGTGACGTCGCCCTAGTGGCCGAAAAAGTCATGAAATTTTGTTTTGTCTCGTGCGATCGTGACTCTTACAATTGAGGTCAATCAAGATGGTTTATAATTTTCTTTACATATATACCTACCGGATTGTGGCATTTCCATAACCACGGGCATAATTTATATGATAGTATAATTGAGTTGACTATAACATGTTCATATTTTATATGCTGATGCATGATATCGCGAAGTTTTTTTTTTAATTTCAGTTTTGATTACAATTTAATCCAGCAGACAGTCAATGATGGCAGTTTCTCAAGGCACCTAAGCGGATAAAATATAATGATGTCCTCCAGAGAGAATTTCGGTCACGGCGGCCAGTCTCAACGGTGACTAGCCATCTCTATAGGACAAGATTATAGGGCCCAAGTGTATGCGCAAGCACATATGCACTCTCTATTCTCTAACTTTCATAGCCCGATGGGACGGTAATCCGACACGACCAGAGAGAGATCAAGCAACTGCTTTACGTACTTTTCGAGGCAAACGTGTGAAACACCGGCAATTTCTCGACTGTGGGCTTCTACTGAGTATTTCTCTACAAAAACAATCCAATAACTGATTTTTTTGGCCCGACCCGGGATTCGAACCCGGGACCTCATAATCAGCAATTACTTTTGCAACCACTAGAACTATATTAACAACGCAGTCAAAAGATAAAAAAATAAGTATTCTCACTCACTATCGAAGCACATAACTTGATATATCGTTTCTACTTGTTTCACTTGCGGAAAGCTGCATGTAATAAACAAAATTGCACAACTTTTAAGTATCAAAATCACTGACCTTTGTTATGTGCAAGTACGCTGGACTGGCTATACACCGTGACACAATGAAGCGATTTGATTTTTTCCATTTTGGCGCTGATAGCAAATTGAGCGTTTACGGAATTAATAATAATAGTATATGCTTTAGATCAAGCAATAACAGGCCAAGAATTGTGCGCACCGTCAGGATGGCGTTTGCTGGGACAAATTTCAATTTGTCCCAGCCGGATATAACTCAAAAACTGACGGAGCGCATAGATGATCTGAAGCAGAGAATCGTTGCTTGAGGAAAGCGGATTCGGTGATATCGGTCGACACTGTTCAACCAGAATCGTCTCTTCCAGAGTGATCAGAAGAGGCTCTATGAATAATTGGAGCGACCAATGGTAAGTGGAACGGGCCCAGCACCGAATCAGGCCGACACTGTAGCATTCTGGTGCGGCCTGTGGTCAGAGCCCGTAAACTACAGCGAGGGCCCTTGGACGGAAGTTGTGGTGAGTCAGTGTACGAGTATAACGCCCATGTACCCCGTCATTATAAAACCGGATGACGTAGCTGAGGGAGTCCGTAGGTCCGTAGGGCTGCATCACTACTGGCTAAAGGGGTTCGTGTTGTGTCACACTGTGCTCGCCCGACAGTTTCAATAGGCTCTCAACCAGAAGTCGCTTCCGATCCTCTTCACTACTGGGATCACCCATTTGGTTCCTAAAGACCAGGGTACCACAGACCCGAGCAAATACCGCCCCATCACGTGTTTACCGACCATATACAAGACACTAACATCCATTTTGAGCGCGAGAATCACTCGTCACCTGGATTCAAATCAGGAGATGTCGCGCGCTCAAAATGGATGTCTGGGCGGTGGTCGTGGAACCAAGGCACGACTCCTCATTGACGCGGTCATTGGCAAAGTGTGAAACGCAACCGTCGGAGCTTCTCCGCCGCCTGGATAGACTTTTTTTATAGAAGAGGGGGCAAATGAGCATGCGGCTCACCTGATGTTAAGTGACTACCGCCGCCCATGATCAACCGCAACACCAGGGGAATTGCAGTCCCCAGGTCGTATCGGTCCGGAAAAATCGCCGGTGGTAAACTACTAACTTCGCAGCGCCAGTGAATCGAGCCGATCGGAAATCACTCGGTCTTCGACGATTCGAACCGCTCTGCGCTGGATGCGGTCAAGTGGAAGGAGCTGGTACTGGGGAGCCCCAGCCCAGAGATGGGAACAGTATTCCATGTGTGGCTGAACCTGCGCCTTGTAAATTTGCAGGCGATGTGCCTGCAAGAAATACTGTCTCGCTCTGCTGAGCACGCCAGGATTTTTGGAGGCCATTTTGGCCTTCTCTTCCAAGTGACCACGAAACTGCACGTCACTCGATATGTCGACGCCGAAGATTTCGATACTGTCTGAGGCAACAAGAGGAGTGCCTTGAAACTGAGCAGATACGGCAAAGGGGTTCCTTTTAGCGGTTAACGCGCAAACTTGTGTCTTCTTGGGGTTAAACTGGACTAGATTTAGTTGCCCCCAATCCGAGACTCTGTTCAGCAAAGACTCGACTCCAGAGAAAAGTTTGTCCCGGTACTTGGAGACGTTTTCCCGAGAAATATTGGCACGGCGGGTGTACAGAGCATCACCATTGCTGTCATCTGCATAGCAATGAATGTTACGGGTTTGCAACATATCATTGATATGCAGAAGAAACAGCGATGGCGATAGCACGCAGCCTTATGGAACACCAGTATTAATAGGCATGTAATTGGAGCTTGCACCGTCTACAACGACCTTGATGCTCCGATCTGCAAAAAAAGCTGGTGATCCAATCGCACAATTTCTCGGGGAGCCCATAGGAAGGGAGCTTCGAAAGAAACGCTTTGTGCCAAACCCGATCGAAGACCTTCGCAAAGTTCAAACTAACGGCCAATGCCTCCCCCTTGGACTCTACTGCCTCCGACCATCTGTGAGTTAGGTAGACCAGAAGATCACCAGCTGACTGACCACGGTGACAGACTACAGAAAGGCATTCGACTCGGTGCCTCATACTTGGATAAAGAGAGTCCTTGAGCTGTACAAGATAGACTGTACAGTTAGAGACTTCCTCGAGCAGTGTATGGGGCAGTGGAGTACGATCCTTTGTTATCTGGGCGAGCGGATGATGGCTGCGAAGAACCACATAAGGATAAGAAGCAGGGCGATTTTCTGAGTCCGGTCTGGTTCTGCCTCTCTCTGAACTCTCTCAGTACCTTACTGGAGGGCTACGGGAGAGGATTTCAGCTACGGAAAGGAGGGACAAAAGTGACCCATCTTTTCTATATGAGTGACCTCAAGTTATTCGCCTCCAGTCGCTCCCATCTTATGGAATTGCTAAACGTCACTTATGAATTTAGCAATTCCATTGGAATGGAGCTAGGGACGGATAAGTGTGCGGTCCTCCATGTTGAAAGGGGAAGGGTTGCTAACTCTGAGGGCATAGACTCATCTATGCCCGTCAACTGAAGGACATTTTCCGAGGCTGAAACATGCCGATACCTGGGTATGTCACAGAACATCGTTATCGATGAGGCTGGCATGAAACAGTTCGTTTACGACGTGTTTTATGCGCGCTTGAAAAAAGTGCTTAAAAGCCTTTTGTCCGGTGTGAATAAGACACACGGATATAACGGTTGGGTCATGCCTGTCCTCATGTACACCTTTGGCATACTCAGGTGAACTCAGACTGAACTTAACACCCTGGATAGAGAAGTCCGCACTACCATGACGTCCCATAGAATGGATCATCCGAGATCGTCGGTAATGTGTCTGTACTTGCCGCGAATGCATGGTGGGCGTGGCTTTTTGAGCGCGCTCACCATGCATAATTGCGAAGTGTGCAGCTTCCGTAATTACTTCCTGGTGAGCTCGGATAATCCATCTTACAAGGACGTCA